TCAAAGGTTACATGCATCTATATTATTCTTTTTTTATTGTAAAAATTACGTTATAATCTTCTATTATTTGAAAATAATAAAAATGATACTAACATCATGATAGAGAATTTACATATGCGGTGGCGGGGAGACATTGATCATTTTGCATTTCAATCGATTATAAAATTTTTAAGGTATTATTATTTTTAAGACAAATGATTCATCGCGATTGAACTATAGTCTTTTAAACAATACAATTTGTATAACATTACGAATAAAAAAATTAAGAATTAGTAAAAAATAATTATTATAATTATTATTATTCGTAAAAAATAATATAAAATAATTATATAGATGAATATATGTATTATATAAAAATTGTAAATAAATTTGCAATTTCTATATGTCGAATTTCGTTTGAAATTTTCTATTCATTACTACATACACTGCTAATTCTTTTGTTTTAGTAATTTACTTTTTCAAATTTGCATGACTCGCATTCTAAAATTATCAAATATTGCACTTTTGCAATTACATTATACATGTGTTATAAGTGTCAAAAATTGACTTTTATTTCAAAACTAAAAATAATTTATATTCAAATACATTGTTATCAGAAAAAATAGTATAATATTTATAGAGCCAAATTTAAAATATATAAGCATATATAATATATTTTAGTCAACATATCTTTTATTACTTTAGTGTGATTGCATGTGATTGCAGTGTGATATTGCATCTTTAAAATTTTAACGTTATTATATTAATTAATATAATAATTTTATAGAAAACTAGGAAACATTCCCAAGTGTAAATTGACCTCAATTTTATTGAAACTATTGAGTGATGTAGTTCCCGAAAATGTTTGGAAAGTTAAAAACATATTTTACAAAGTATATCAAGGTAAATATATTAAAAATATATTTTACAAAGTATCTTGGAAACTATTTAGTAGATCTAAGAAAATAATTCAAATACGTAAAAAAGTTATCTTCAAATAAAGAACTTAACCATAATATTTTAACAATATTTTTTAAAAATTCGTTTAATTTAAAAAATATAATTAAAAATTCTTATTATTTATTAGATAAATAAAAATGGAATAAAAATAAATAAAAATTTTTATATTTATTATATGTGTTATACTCGCAAAAATTAAATTTTTCTCGCAAAAACTGGATTTAGTTGCATAAAAGTTTCTTAACTTCAAATACGGATAAATTGGAATTTTGATTTTTAGGATTATAGCAAAAATGATCGTCTTTATTATTTTCGTAAATTCTATATAAATAAAATTATTAGGCATGCATGATCGTAAACTATAAAAATTCTGACAGTTTGTAATTATGATATGTTTTATTAATTTTCCTTTTCTACACCAACAATGAAAGCTAAATGCGCGCCAGAGGCAATACGCTATCTATTTATGAGTATTTAAAAATATCTAAAACTTTAGATATTTATGAATATCTAAAAATTATTTTCATTTTCTTTTCTCAATTTCAAATATTCAAAATTTATAAAATTAATCCCAAAACGACACTGTTTTATTTTCGGGCGTAAATATATGATACTGTAGAGTCACAGACAATATAAAATAAAATCTAAATATTTTTAACATTGTTGAATATTTTTTCAGTGTTTTTTTTCGATAGAGATTTTCTCTAGAGATTCTTAAGGAAAGATGATTGCAGCATTATGTTTTTAATAAAATAAAGGAAATCAAAATAAAAAAATTATTTTGTGTTGTGTGTGAGAAAGGTTTATTCGGTATGATTCGCTTATAATACATTTCTGGCAATTCCAATTACTATATATATAGTTTGATGGAAAATACATGTCTTATTTGAAACTGCACAAATTTTTGGAAAATGATCCATTATTTACTTTAGATGATTAAAATACGCTTCTATTATGTAGTTTATAAAAACTCGAAGACCTTTAAGACTAATAGAGACGCACGAAAAACTTTCTTTTTTTCATTATTTTACAAACTATGGCACAGATTAGAAGGGCATACAAACGCTCGATATTCTAATGTCTATTTATACATCTGTAGACACGACTAAAATAAGATGAGGTCGCTGCCGATCCAGTGTCGTTGTAGGAGTAAAGAAACATAACAGTCATAATAATAAAAGACATCGTTTTAACAAGAATAGATATCTGCTTTGATTGTATAAAATCATGAACGTGCATAATTAAGTTTAGTACAAAAGATTGAACAATTTTCTAATAAAGTTGTTTTGTGTTCAAAATTCGTAAACTTAATAGCACCAAATAGCTACATAGGTACGTAGTATTCATTTAAAAGTAATTTTTGGACTATCTTTTCAATTCAATAATTATTAACATTTATCAACATTTATTTCGTGAAACATATTTTCAATCCTAATTTTAGTAGCGGTTTTCACCTCTTTGACATGAATCTCGATACATAAAAAAAATATGTGTCAAATATTCTTTCATGAACTACACTTAGGACAACAACGTACACTTTGGAATATTCCTTTGTAAGAATTGAAATTTGTACAATAAGAGAATAAGTGGAATATTATTGTAACATTTCTTATTAATATTGTTTTACTACGTATGTAATACATACACAACTTTTCAACATACAACTTGTCCCGATTAATTTCGAAAATAGATGCTCTAGACAACTGTAATTACACACACCACATATATTGTATTGTGTACCTCGATTTACTTACTCATTATATTATACCGAGTTCCAAACAATGTGAATTCTAAGACACTCAACGCATGTACTATAGTTGCTCACGATAGAACGTTTATAATTCAAATTGTATTTGTGTTTATAAATAAAGTATGCGCTTTAGAATTTTTGAAGTAAGTATGACAAAATTAGAGAGTAGAACATTGTTTTGTACAATTAAAATAATGTGAAATGTTAAAGAAATTTTATACGCAAGCAGCTACAAATCATCGATAGAGATAACAAAATGCCATAAAATAACAAAAATATAGATTTATTCTATCTAAAATCATTAATATGGAAATAAATAAGGAAAAAATGAAATAGATACAAATATATAGATATAATAAATAAACAGACATAGATAGATATATAGATAGATTCTCAAATCTTAGTTACATATTTTGAAAGACAATTGTAAACTTGTAAAATAGTGAAAATAATAACTGGAATAATAATAATTGGAAGGTTTGGAAACTGTAATGACTAAAAGTGTAAAGTGCGTTATTTATTTGCCAAAATTTCCGATTGCAAATATTAGAATATTTTTCATGAGTAACTATATTTATTTTTTTCGATAGTATAACTAATCTGAAAAGATTGGTCCATTCCAACAGCAATTTATTGACGATTCGTGCGAATCTATTCGACTGATTTCTTCCTAGTTCATTTATCCAATTCCAACATTCGAATTTCAATCATATTACTTATTAATAATTACTTGTTCGTACATGTACTGTTGCATCTTATTACGTTTATAAACGCTTAATGAATTCTGTACTTTGAGAGAATACAGGTTATCGATTTTTTTGTTATGCGTTCTAGCGCTTTCCAATATGTATTGCTCCCTTGTAACGAGGTGACTTTGAAACGCTTCGTGACATACGAATTAACAACAGTTATTTGTATTTTCATATATCATACACTCTAAAACAAATGTCAAAATTTTTTTCTATTTTACTATAATTCGGATTTTCAAGTTTGCATCAGTTTATTTTCACGTAAAGAAAAATAGAAATGAAGAATTCATAGGAAATAATAGAATCGGTAAAATTTTACTTTTCTATCTGTATCAATTATCAAATTTATTTTTACGGTTACCTTCGCGTTTCTTTCTTTTTTAATACACAGTGTTGATTCAATTATAAATGAAAGTAAAATTTAATGTTAAAATTTGATGTTAAATTTAAAGGAATTTAGAGGAATTTCTTATGTTCTATGTTATATGTTTCTCACATTAAATTTAACCGATACTAACTGATATAATTTCAAATACTCTTGTGATTTCAATGAAAAGTATTTTCTATCACGAATGATAGAATTGTGTTCTACGTTATGTAATCAAAGATACTCGTGAATAAAAGCAATAGTCAACTTGGATTGATTCAAGGTAACCATTATTCTGGTATCAATTATCGAGTGTCTATTGAGAGCCAGAAGTGTACGTGAAATCGTTCCAGATGCGTTGAGTTAGCTATGTATACGTACGTAGTCATGTGCGTATACGTACGTGTACATACATATGTACATGTTAGTCTTATCACTTTCATTTCAAACACGAATACAGTACGTAATGGTTCTTTCTTTATTTAAATGAAATATAGTATTTAAATTATTCCTAAAGTACTCAAATACAGACCATTATAAACTTTTTCAATGAATTTTTGAGCTGAGTACGAAATAACTATGGAAAATAAACTAAGTTTAATAAAAAGAAACAATAAAGACGAAGAAATATGAAATGCAGATCTTTAAGAAAGACATATTGCCCGTATACAACTTTTTTATATCAGTTTCTATAAAAATGATTGAAATTGGCATTTGCCCTAATATGTTGTGTGATACATCGAGTTTATCAAAGTTCATTAATGTTATGCTATTTTATCATATTTATTTAATGATTATAAAATATTTTTGCACTAAAAGATTTGTTCTTTGATAAATTTTAATTCTTCATTTTTAATCTTGCCTTTATATATTCTTATTCTGCTAATCGTTATCATAGTTCCGAATATTTTGGTAATATACTATCTATTAATCTGCTTCTTGAAACAGAAAACTATATAGTTTATTTTTTGTAAGTCAATTACAAAAGTATTTCTATTTTCTTCACAATTAACACAATAGCAATAAGAAGCGAAGAATTAATAGCGTGTGTATGTGTGTATTTTTGTCAATTTTTAAAAATTATATTATATTTATTATTCTGTATTTAATTCAAAAATAATTTTTATATCTATTAAATATAAAATATAAAATGTAATTAAAAATATAATAAATATTAAGTACAAAATATAAAGTGTAGAGTGTAAAATATAAAATATAAAATATTTAAATTCATTTAAAATCTAAGCAGGACAATTCTTGTATAAAGATATTGTCTTGTATCTGTCGAGTGATTCGTAGAATATTCATATTGTACATAAAAAATGAACAAAAATAATAAAAACAAATTATAAATAGTAGCATTTTTGCTTGCATTAGTTTTTAACTTGAACAAGTTAGAAAGCTTCAGATTTCTGTGTTTGAATTGAATATTTTGCAGAATATGAACTTGAATAAAAATAATTGGCAAATAATTGGTAATAATTGCTGGCAGTCAATTCCGTTAGAAATAATTCATAATACATATATACTATATTTATATGGTTCAAATTCTATAATCGATAGCGCACCGAAGCGGGAGGCTATCGAATAATAACGTAATGCTATTTTTGTTAACTTTGCTCCCTTTTACAGCCTCCTGAACGATGCCACCCTTTAACTTTCAGAGTAACCTATACGTTCAGGTTACGTACATTTACACATATGAATTATCGGGAGAGGAGACTATGAGATTGTGTTCGAACGATCGAAATAATTAAACAGAAAAGATTTTTTTCTCTGTGAACTACAAATTAATAAAATGTTAAATGAGAACGCGTTACTTATTTTCTTTGGCCGTCAAGAGAGTGAACGTGGTGGTTCGCTTCGTCGCTTTTGCTCACAGCACGAAACAACTGTGCAAGGGCGTAAGTGATACGATAATCATAGTGATTTCACACGAATTATGCATTTTCCATGACCGAGACCTGCTCGAAGGAAAAGGATTTCAAACCTAACCACAACCTATAGGACATTCATTCATTTGTGCCTTTGTAAAAAAAGTAACACAGAAACTTATCTGTTTCGTTTCTGTCGAATGCGCTCTATCATACCGATCATACATCGCAGATCAGAGAATCCGGAAAAACGGAGCTGTACTTTGGAATAAACAAACGATCGTGTGATCGTGTGATTTATTCGTTCTTTGGTATCGATCTAATTACTTTTCAATCTCTTCTCGAATTTTTTCTCGGAAATTACAATCCCTGATAGACAGCAATCAGCGAAAATCATTTTAGTTCCTTTTTAATGATGAGACTAAAACGACTAGGATTTAGCAGTGCCACTTTGTGCTTTATCGTTCTGAGCCTTGTCGAATCCATCGATTAATGTTTCGATGATGAACTTAATCGTCACTTTGTAAGTACTCTCCACGTTCTCCGAGTATCGATCTTCTAAAGTTCGCTTCACTGCTTCTAAGAATGGCTGCTCAATTTTCTGAAAATAAAATTCATTTGAAATATCAAATAGGTATGTATAATTAAAAAATAAATAAAATTGTTATCTACGTTATTTTACTTGGCATATAAGCAACATAACTAGACAATATTTGCTTAGACAATATTCATTTATTTCGATAATCGAATAATTTAATAATTCGATAAGCTAGAAGAAAAAGATTGTTATATTTCCATGTGTTGATTAACCATGTGTTGATCGAGTTAATATTCATGAGAAAACAATTAGACAAATTATAATAGTTAGACTGCGGAACTTTGCACATTTATAACAAATTTTAAGATGTAAAATTCCACAAAACGCGCGTAACATAAAAATAAATACATAAAATATCCAAAGTATACTTGCTATGATATTTTGTAGTGCTATAAATACAATAAATATTGCTATAAAATAAAAAATAATTTTATATGTATAAGTTTCATTTTCTCAATTATATTCTTAAAATGAAAATATGAATCTGCATAAAAATCTGCATATAACAATCATATTTCTAATAAACTCATGTAAAATGTTAGGTAGAAGTTTTATTAGAATTTTTTAATTAGATACACCTTCGTATTTAGCTGTATTCATTACGTGTGTAATATATTCATGAAATATTTGACGATAAAGATGAGTTACCACATATGATGTACATATTACACTCTCCAACGTGAATATGCAAGAAACATGCATAGCATGCATTTTTCCGGCTTTGTTTCAGTGAAACAAGGTATCTCTTACTTTCAACGGCGACGACACGACAGAATGCATTCTTACCCCTCCGAAATAGTCTACAGTCTACAGCAATGTTAGGGTAGAGTGTCGACTATGGTAAGGACGACATTTGAAACACGGGAAAACCAGTAAACGGAAATCAGAAAATCTTTTGTATTATTGTTAATGGAAAATTGTTGTACAAGAAGAAAGATAGGGAGATAAAAAAATCAGGTGATACTTTTGATTGATTCAATATCAGATAAAATCTTGAGATTAGAAGATTATATTGAAATTATAAATCTAACCATGTAGCTTTATCAAGCTATGATAATTTTGAACAAATGATCAACAACCATTGTTCACATGACGAAACTTTAGTATATAAATTAAATAATAATGTATTAACTAGGCAATTTATTTTATATTAATATGTTGATATTATTTTTGGATAATGATAATATTGAGATTACGATAAATATAATTATAATAGAATTTTAGAACTACAATAAATCGAAAAAATTTCTTTTTACGAGCTTACCCAAAAATATTGTGGATTAAAGTCAGGAATTTTTGTATGCGTAGCTCCGACTTGATGAAGACAGCTCAGGAAATCATCCATATTGTCAAGTCCTCTGATACTTTCGTCTAGGGCAGTCATTACTTTCTCCGCGTGTTTCCCCAATTCTTCCATATCGAAACGTTCTTCTTTTGATTTCAAGTCCAGAAATCGTGAAAACATTTGGACCAGTTCTTCATTTTCTTCGAACAACCTGTAATTAATGAGAAAAAACTCATAACAAAACTTAATCTTTTAATCTTCTATTTTCTTTGCCGTAAATTTGAGTAATTATTTTAAAGTCAAAACCATTGCATATGGAAATATATGCGAAAAGTTGTATAACACATTCAAATAAGATATATCAACGCATAATTAAGCACTTTTTATTTCGTTTCCTGTATTTCATTAATGTTCAAAAATATATTTTTAAACATGCGAAAAAAAATATGTCTGTACAATACAATTTTAAAATCATGATGAGATGAATATTAGAATATTAGGAAAAATTTGCAATATGATCACAATCTGTTAACATTTTAATTATATTTCTAAAAAGAAGAACTATTGAAAGTTTTATTTTTCAAAAAATGGAGTCAATAAACAACAAAATACTTCGACTAATTCATTGTTAATTGTTAAAGGATACTTTAAGCCACTATAAAAAAGAAAAAGTGTTCAAAGTTGGCATTGTCTTGCCACGAGTCCCTGATACTCACTGATAATCGTGTTAATAATTACATTTTAATTTCTTTTTTTTTTATCTCGTTAATCGATATGTATTTTTAAAACCGTATTTCAATTGTTTATCAACGACAAGGAAAAATACTTTGTTCTTCTTGAAATACTCTTTGAATTCTTTGAACGCGTCGTAAATCTTGAATTTGACCTTTAGGCGATAGAAGCTTTTACGATATATCCTGTACTTTCTCAAAAACTTTCCGAAACTTGGCTTGCAACAATAGTTGCAGTGGGTTTCGTAAAAGATTGAAATTTCTTTCCTACATCCTCTTGAGTTCATAGTAACTATCTGTGATAAAAATAGAAATTTATGGCAAAAACATAATTTAACGTTAATCTTAATATTATACAAATTTATAGAGTATCTATATAAAAAGAATGTATGAATTTCATTTATTTTTCTGATCACTCGTTTATCATTACGATCATTTTATTTTTTATACGTACAGTAAGAAGCATAAGATATAATGAAAAATTGTCAATACTTTGAGTTGTTATAACTTCATAAAAGATAATCATACAAGAATCTTTCAGTATCATTTTAAAGCGTAAAGTTTTTATTTTGATTGTTTCAAGTTCGTTTTTTCCAAAGATATTTTTACATCATGTAACCAGTGAAAAAGTAAAAATACTTTTATTCTCAAGAATTGTAAAAATTCAAACATCGGTAATTTCGTAACTTGATGTCACCATTTCTGAAAATTGAAATTTTCAACAATCTCGTAAAACTTACTGTATGATTTTGAAACTTGTCTCTTTGTAATGGATCCCTTAAAACTTATTACATGACTTTTTCTGCAATTTTTTTATTGAACGCTTCATATTACTATTAAATTTGATTGAACATTAAGATTAAATGACGAAATGTTGGAATTTTTTGAATTTTTGTTATTTAATTCTAATGCAAATTTCAATAAAGTGATGAAAAAGAATCGTACAGCAAATTTTAAGACGTTATGGGAAACTTTAATCTTTAAGACCACAATGGATTTAGTCATAAATAAAATTTGAACAATTTCTATTTTTCTTTTTTTAAGAAAAAAATACTTTTCTATTTGCTATATAACATTAAAAATCTTGGAAAAGACACGAATTCGGGGCAGAGAAAACAAAAGTTTTGAGATTAAATGACAACAGATATATATTGTATGATTCTTTTTAACAAAGTTATAAAAGTTTGAAGTATCGACAATTTTTCATTTAAATTAATTGTGGTGCAAAACTGACTCCATGAAAATAATTTATATTTACTAGAATTGATGGTAACAAGAGTATAGAATTTTTTTTGGAAAACCAAAACGTCCTACAAATTTTTTATTTTTTTTATATTCTACATACAAACACTATTAAGACAAAGACTATTAATGTTAAAAATCCATATACCTACTCAATTTTCCTCATCACTGTATGCAAAACAATAAAAAATATGATTTGCAAATTCTTTAAATTATAATAAGATAATAGAACCTCGATTATTCAAATTAATTCTGTTCAGAATGATCGAATAATCGAATTTTTTGAATAGTCGAACGCTTCATATTTTGGATATATGAAATGAGTTTTATTATTTTTTATTATCATTTTCATTATTATAATCATAAATATGAAAGAATATAATTCATTACATGATATATGTATATATTATATATATATATATATATATATATATATTTTAATTATCTTTGTTTTCCCAATCTTTCTAAACTGCTAAATTGCATATTTACTTTCACAGTTATTAATTACTGCCTATCTAAGTTCTGTTTGGAATGTTCGAATAACTGATATTCAGATAATTAGTGTCAAAATAATCGAGATTCTACTGCATTTATTTTACTTTTATGAAACGAACATTTCGATTTCACCAGATTTCACGAAAAGATTTTAAATGAATAAAGATTATTTTCTTAAATGCAATTACATTTAATAATGAAAGAATAAATATCCAAGAAACGGTCGCCACATCATTGTTACATAGCATTTTTAAAAAAGCTTTTCGTCTTATTTGTATTTCCCTCGGTTGTTCCATTTTGTTTCCACATTTAATTAGTCGCTGTGCGGCCACAAACTTGTCTTGCCAGCATGTTGTGCTTCGTTTTCTTAAATTCTTAAGAGTCACGGCAAACAGACGAAAGAACCAACACGGCGAAATCATCAAATTGGCTTAGAGCTTAGGACCTTGAGAGACTAAAATCTTTAGTTTCAACTCCCTAACAGCTCGTTAAGTCTGTGAAAATCTTGAACAACAAGCTTAAGGATTTAGTTGTGGCAAACGTATGTAAATGTGATATTGTGAACATTGGTGTCGAAGTATTTCGTTATTTGTTAATTATCAATAAATAAGGAATAAATATAATAATGCATGTGTCTATATTTATATATAGTTGTTTACAAATCTCTTTTTTTGCATATTATAATTGCAATATAACGATGATAATTTCATAATATATTTCTATAGCTATCATACATTGCACACGTGTCTGATATGTCTTGAATGAATACAATCGATAGTAAGGAACTTAGATAAGACCCTCGAGGCATGAATAGCTCTTGAGAGGTAATTACATATTGACTTTGACGTTCCATAATCGATCCATCAAATTACTCTGCATATAGTATAGATGTATAGTCTTAGAAGATGTTAGGAGAATTCCTTGAAGTTTAGCTCAAATGTGAATTTAATGACCTCTTGAAATTTTTTCATATCACTTTGAGAGTGTTGAACAAAAAAATTAATAAACAAAACGTTAGCTTGTATGTATGCCACAATGTTAAAAAATGAAATAATACGGAGCAAATTTAATTGCAAATTTACAAAATAAATTATTAAATTAGAATGAAGAGAAATAGATCTACCTCTAGATGCTCGAACAGGCGTCAATATAACGTGCACGTAAATGATAAAAAAAATTTGTGTTTCTATTTGTGTTATAAACGTTTAAATATCATCAGTGACCAACACTAACTGTAAATTATAAAAGTTATCAATCTGTAACTTATAACGGTTGTCAACGTCATTCGTCGCTTCTGGTGGTTATATAAAACATTCCCCAAATGTTTGAATAGCCTTTGTAAGTAACAACAATAAATTCTTGACGCGACACTTTTTTTTTGGCCGACCAACAGAGAAAGTAGAGCATGCACTGCTGTTAAAGAGAATGGATCGTATCAAGCGACTGCGGTAGTATCAATCGCGGAAAGGAATGGAGATTTCGTCCGTAGGTGCGATATTTATTATTTCCAAGATAAAAACGTGTAAATTATAGCTTTTTCAATTTAATTATTTTTTTCTAGCATATTAATTAAATAAATTGAATTGCCTGATACACTTAAATATATTTAAAACTAAATTTTTGCGTTTTCATGCAAAATACATTTTGCAGCTTTGAAATGCTTGTTTTTGTGGAAAAAGAAATGTTAGAAGACTATCTTTGATTTACTATGATTTATAAATAAATCTAGCATGCATTAAAAATACTTCCTTCTATTTCCTTATTATTAAAAGCTTCGTGATTCAAGCTTCGTGACTGTTGATTACAAGATTCGTGATTGTTGAAAATTGATAAAGTAAGAGAAAGAAAAACGAATCAACTATGAATGGGAAAGGAAGGGAGGAATGGAATCAGACAGGGAGGAGTGAAAAAATTGGTTAAAAGAAAATAAAAAAGCTTATTAACAAATACTCGCGATGGAGATAATAGAAGCAAGTGCAGGATGAAAGAGATGGGGGATAAAGATTAACAAAATTAAAAGAGGAAAAGAAGGAATGCCCAATTTGAAAGCGGACGAAAAATAGCAGGGAGAATGGGAAAAAATGAAGAAACGGGATAGACTCATTTTCACGTCGACTCGTCTAGAATCGCATGAGCGCACTATTTCTGCACTTGGTCACGTGAATAGTCTGAAAATGCCAATACGAGGAAGTCCATTGTCCGTTAACAGGGATAGAAGCAGAAAAACAACGGTCGCCTACGTTTCACGTCGCAACTTTCAATCCTTCAGCGTTCGTAAACAATGAAAAACAAAAAAAGGAAAAAATAAATGTAGCTGCGTATCATTTATTTGTTGCTAATCGTTATTTGTTACATTTGTTACATTTGATGTTTTGCAAATATTTCGTTCGAAAACCGTCATAAAACTGTAATCGATATAACAGAGATAAAGAGTAAAAAATTCCGCTGTGGCCTTACAAGGAATTTAATTACACGTTCCAATAACAATTTATTTTCCGGATACCAGTTGCATAACAGTAACTTTGCTTACCACTTCTATATTACATTTGTCCGAGTGTACAGTCTGTTTCTGTTCAGAGGGCATAATGATAAAACCTGATGAAGAGAAAGTCCACGTAAAAGAATAAATTGAAAATAAAGACAGCAACATTTTTCCACTCAAAGTTTCGTTTACGAATAATAAGTCAATGTCGAAAATTTTTATCGAGTACTTACATATATTTTACTGTAGATAAGTTCATCT